GTCTCCCTTTTCCTTTTTCGTTTCCTTTTTTTCCTCCTTTTTCGCCTTTCGACCATAGGATAGATGCGTATGAATGGATGGATAGGGACAATGGCTTGTATTGTAAGGCAACGACTCTCGGACCGACCACGCGACTCTATCAGAATAGAACCCCTGACACTATTCATCAAGGCACCATACGGTTAATGGTTCTAACGACAGAGCGGGGCGTCCGGTTTTCGCATTCGCAGAGGGATCGGGCGAGGTGGCAGGCAGCATGGATTTCTTTGCTGACTTGGACCTGGAGGAGGAGCAGCCGGAGGTGGACGAAGTGGTAACATTCCTGGCGGTCGGCACCTTCCCGGTTTTACTCTCGTAACCCCACGCCTGAGTATTACGAGGCCAAGCGACATGCATACCGACGCTACTTGCCCTGTTGAGCGTGCCTTGCCCTGCTTACCCCCCTCCGCACCAGCGTGAGACGCCGCGTCAGCCCTCCTCCTCTTCCTCGCTCTTCTGCCTAATCTCGCCATAGCCGGCGCATCGCTAACCACATGTCTATCCGAGGACATCTTCCTCCGACTATCGGCTAGGCGCTTCGCTCTACTGATCGCCTGCACGATCTGCTTCGCAGCCATCTTTCTCGCCAGTTGCTGCTGCCTCTTCTTTGTGCTGGGCGCAGGAGGTGGATGTGGTTGTTAGTTAGAGGTAGTACACTGCGCAGAGCGGCGCAATGGAGCACAAGACTATGACGGAGGCGTTGGCATGCACCTTCTTGGCCTTCCTTTCCTTTCTTTCCTTCCTTGCCTTCCTCTACTTCATCTACTCCCTCCCCCAACCCCTCCCACATCCCCATTCCATCCCCCTCCCCTATCCCCAGCCCCTCGTCCCCCGGTCCCGCAACCCCCCATCATCCCTATTACAATGCACCCCCGTCCATAACCCAACCACTACCACCACCCCCCCGCCTTCCAGGGACCCTGGAAGATGTCCCACCCTCTGATGACGCCCCACGTGGCATAGGGCAGAAAAGCGCTTTAGGGAGCTGCCACGCCCTTCCCGCGATTCGGCGAGATGATCCACGCAGCTGCAGGAATGCGTTGATCTGGAGGAAAGAGCTGAAGCGGGATATCCCCCTTCCCCCCTTCCCTTCCCCCCTTCCCTTCCCCCTTTTCCCCCCTCTCTCGCCCTCCTTCGCTCCCCTTCCCTCCCTTCCTTTTTTCCTCTTCCTCCTTCGCCAATCTTCCCTTCTATCCCCCTGGAACCCTGCAATCTTTCGATGGTAGAGGTGCGAGGTGGGCGATGTAATTCTTCCCGGTTGGAATAAGGGGTTGAACTTTTTTTTTTTTTTCTGAAACATTGCGTTGTTCATGGTGTTGATTTGCAATGATTGCTATTCTTTCGTCTTTTTCAAAGTACTTTCGATTTCTTATGGATGAATGGGCCAATCTTATGGAATATTGCTAGATGCTACGCTTTATTGGTTGCTTTTTCCTTCCTGTCTCACAATGGTTGCTTCCTAGTTGCCGGATTTTCGTCTTTCTCCAAGTGCTTTTGATTTTCTACGGATGAATGAGCCAATCTCGTGGAATATTGCTGAATGCTATGCTTCATTGATCGCTTTTTCCTTCCTGTCTTGCGATTTGTCATTCGAATGGACGATGTATGCATTATATGTTACCAATGGTGGTCAATGGAATTGTCACTTTTTTTCGAGCTGTGTTTCGAACGTTTATGTCTGTGTGGTTGGTCTGATCGTTGCCCCCTTGCGATACGAAGCATCCCTACCCCCCTCGCTTCTGTTCGCCACTTGCGCTGGATTGGCCGAACTTCACCCGATAAACGGGCTCGTGGTTACCCTCACCACAAAATGGACATACCGAGTGGCTTTACCTCGCCGCGTTTGAATTTCGCCTCAGACGTCTTGCTTTTTGCTCACGGTGTGCCGACGCTTTTGGTCGGAGTAGCACGGGCATGACGTGTCGTGCTCCTGTGAAATGCATGTGACCTGCGCATGCTAACACACACACACACACACACACACGCACACACGCATACATTCACTAATAACCTGGTACCGACCACTAAAGCAAAAAAGCTTGCTGCACCCCCTCACACACATCCATCCCCTGTACCCACACACACATACTACCCACCCACCTAGCACATAAAGCCTACACAAAACTTGAGGCTTGCACTATGCAACCTCAAACACCTGGTGCCCCACCCACCGGCCCCAAGCTCACTCCCCTTACTCACCAACCCATGTCCATAATGAGACCAACACAAAATAAACACGGATACCTGGTGCCCCACCCACCGGCCCCAAACCCGCACCACCTTTGCACCACCCAGTGACCTCCCCACCCATACCCTACATTCACTCATACTGCACCATAACAAAACTAATACGGACACCTGATGCCCCACCCACCGACCCCAAAACTCACACCCCTTACCCACCTACACCTGACCTCCCCATCCATCCCACGCATTCATCCACAATGAAGCCCGCACGAAACAAAGCACAGGAACCTGCTGGCCCACCCACCGACCCCAAACTCGCAACCCCTACCCACCAACCCACGACCTCCCCACCCCTCCCCTCGTTCACATATAACAAGGACCACATAAAACAAACACTGGCACCCGGTTCCCCACCAGCCCCTGCAAACCAACCCGTCAGCACAAAAAAGAAAACGCTTCCCCAGAAAAAACAAAGAAAAGAAAAAACAATAAAGAAAAACGTGAAAAGAAACCCCCACAAAAAAGAACAATTTGAACTTCTGCACAGACACCTCCCGCCAAAGAAGCGTAACGTGCCCTCCCGTCCCCTACGCCCATACTGCCAAAAAAGCTCTCCACTTGCCTACACTACCAGCCATCGCTGCACGCAAAACAAGCACAACGGGCCACAACCCACACGTCCTCTGCCATGGTGCAAACGACGTTGCACCCTGCAAGGAAAACCCCTACCTGCGCAGCACGCAGCACCAAGTTACCATGCCCCACATGCTATGACATCCCCCTACATGTCTTTGCCCTGCAGCTTCATTCAACCTCCCTCACAGTCCACACCCCCCACCTCCTACAACCCACCACCACCAACTCCTTCTGTCGCCTTCCCCCACCTCCCTGCAACAATCCTACAACCCTCCACGCGCACGCCACCACACTCACCGCATGTACTATTGCCCATTACACCCCCACCATCACCGCCAACTCACACACTCGAGTGTATTCCACACGTACCCTCAGCACAGTGAACATGACCCTTCTGCAAGCACTCCACCCCCATCACCTTCCCTGTGGTATCCTCGGATACACCTCATCCCCCCAACTAAACCCACGCACCCTACCTACCCCTACTGCCATTCCCACAGCATACACTCACACACAATGGTTGAGCCTCCCCTTCCCCCTCGTCTACTGCTACTTATCTGGTCCCCCCACCAGCCGGTTCCTCAGTCTCTACGACGCCACAGCGGCGGAACCTACTGTGGGTACGATCTCCTCCTCCTCTTCTTTCCTCTTCTGCTCTCAT